GACTCCAGCACTGCCCTGGGCAGCCTGTTCCAATGCCTGAGCACCCTCTGGGGAAGGAATTGCTCCTCAGCTCCATCTAAACCTCCCCTGGTGCAGCTTGAGGCCGTTTCCTCTTGTCCCATCCCTTGTTCCTTGGCAGCAGAGCCCAGCCCCTCCTGGCTCCATCCTCCTCTCAGGCAGTTGTAGGGAGCGATCAGGTCCCCCCTGAGCCTTCTCTTCTCCAGACTGACCTCCCCAGGTCCCCCAGCCGTTCCCCATCACACTTGTGCTCCAGGCCCTGCACCAGCTCCGTTGCTCTTCTCTGGCCCCGCTCCAGCACCTCAATGTCTCTCTTGTCGTGAGGGGCCCAGAGCTGAACACAGGATTCGAGGTGTGGCCCCACCAGTGCCCAGTACAGGGGGACAATCACTGCCCTGGCCCTGCTGCTGCATTGGTGCTGATACAGGCCAGGATGCTGGTGTCCTTTCAGAGCTCCCGGGACGCGGCTGACGAGCAGCTGTAGCCGCGAAGGCCGGTTTCTGAGGAGGTCTGAGCCACGCCGGCTGCCGTACGAGGGAGGTGGTACTGGGCGGGGCGACTGCACGGCTGCCTCGGCGCCATGGAGCCCCCGCTGTCTGTCGCCTTCCTTCTCCTCCTCCCCTTACTGCTGGTCTCCTTGGTGCTCCTGGCGAGGAGGCGCCGCAGCCGGCGAACACCTCCCTTCAGCCTCCTGGTGGTGGCCGGCTCCGGTGAGTAGGAGATACCGGTAGCGGAAGCGGGTCCCGGGGCAGAGCGCCCGCAACTGGCTCCAGGAACTACAACTCCCGAGATGCAGCGGGAGCCAGGGAGGCGGTCAGCAGTGTGTCCTGGTGCATGCCGGGAGCTGTAGTCGCGGGTTCCGCTACCGGGCTGATGGGAGGTCCTTCACTCCCTCACGGCGGCTGTCCCAGGCGGTCGGGTGCCCTCAGAGCCGCCGCCTGCCTTTGGGGTTGTCAGAGTCATAGAATGTTATAGAAGAGCAGAATGGTTTGGGTTGGAAAGGTTAAAACTCATCTGCCACAGCAGGGACACCTTCCACTAGAGCAGGGTGTTCCAAGCCCCTGTGTCGAACCTGGCCTTGAACACTGCCAGGGATGGGGCAGCCACAGCTTCTCTGGGCACCCTGTGCCAGCGCCTCAGCACCCTCACAGGGAAGAGCTTCTGCCTTAGATCTAACCTGAACTTCCCCTGTTTCAGTGTGAACCCATCACCCCTTGTCCTATCGCTACAGAGCCTGATGAAGAGTCCCTCCCCAGCACCCTTGTAGCCCCCTTCAGACACTGGAAGCTGCTCTGAGGTCTCCATGCAGCCTTCTCCAGTTCTTTAGCTCCTGATTTGAGTAACTGTTAAGCTTCACCTTTATTTGGAGCATTTTCGCCTGTATTTATGTCTGCTGGTTGGGTCTCTGAGCCTTCCCTTCAGAAGGCCCATGCGTATCACCCAAGTCACTGACAAATGTACTGACTAAACCAGATGTGAGACAGAGCTGTGCAGCTGCTTGGTCTTCTGACAGAAAGTGATTGATGGCAACTCAGGGGGAGGCTTTCCAAGTATCAGTACATCCCCTACATACCTGTCATTCTGCAATGATTTTACCCAAGCCACATTCCTCTGGTTTACTTGGGAGAGTCTGCCAATGTTTTCCAAGTGTGTCACCCCACACTAAGAAGTCACATACGTCTACTCCTTGTTACCTCCCAAAAGCCACAGGGCAATTAATTTGCCCCCCCCCAAAATAAGACTACCATGAAAATTTGCCATTGCTGTTCTGTGAATGCTCAGATGATTGCATTAAAACTTGTGAAACTTCAATAAACCATCACTCACAAGAGAATCCTAGCAGATACTGCATGAATTTCTGTGGGAAGGTGGCAAACTCTCATGTCTAATGCAGCAGCATAGCTCTAGCTGCTTGTAAGCTGTCAGCCAAGAGTGCTTGGCTTATATAGCAAAGATCTCGTAGGAGGTTAATGACACTGGGCAGCAGGAGGCAGTAGGAATGCATTTAGTTTACTATTTTGTTCTGCAACTTCCAGCAGAGTGAAAACCAACACATCCAGTAGAGCTTATGCACATACTTTGGGGTGCAGTTTGATGGTAAGCTGATCCAGCCCAACAGGCAAAAGATGGGATGGCTCCACTTTACCTACACAGACATTTTTCCCTTTGCCACTGTTACAGGCACTCCTGGAGCTCCAGTTCAGGAAACAAAACTGACCAAAACCAACTCAAAAAACCACCCTGCTCCAAAAACCTACAAACACAATAAATACACCCTCCCCTTCTCCCCAGGTCAATGACACTTTATCTACCCAAACAAAGTGACCTTGCAGTGCGAAGGTTGTCGGCACCCATTCAAGGTTAAAGCATTTGGCTGGAGCTGGGCTGTTTCTTCTGCCAGCTCTTATACTGGCTTAGCTGCAGAGTGAATTTGCTGCTTCCTTAATTTCAGTGTTATGAGTTGGGGTAGTGCAGCCCCTGCTCTTGCAGGTCATAGGACTGAGCACTGGGTAGGGTCAGTGGGAGTTATGCTTCCATGGCACAGCTCTGAGCTGGATCCTGCCCACCTTCATTTCTGACCATTGCACCATAGTATGGCTTTTGAGTATGGACTACTACAGTATAACTGCCCAGGTGTTTTTGCAGGACGGGACATTGAACACAAATGCCATACTTCTGTGAATCCTGCTTCAATCCCATTTAACTAAAAAACTTCCATCAATACAGTCTTGGGGTAAAGGTTGGATATGATGATCTTAAAGGTCTTTCCAACCTGGCTGATTCTGTGATTCAGTGGGAGCTGAACTGCCTTCATGTTAAACACTCTCAAACATCCTGTAATTGAATCCTCTACTCTCAGAGGAGTGTCACTGATAATAGTAGCACTAATGAGTTTTAAATGGAAAAGTGTCTCACTCGGCTGAAGAAAGTTACAACATTTCTCATATACTAACTGCAGTTTACTTTGTTTTACAGGCGGGCACACAACAGAAATCCTGAGGCTACTGAGCTGTTTGTCGGAGTCATACTCTCCCAGACATTATGTTTTTGCAGACTCAGACACGATGAGTGAATCTAAAATACGTTCCTTTGAACAAAAAAGGGCTGAAACGTTCTCCACTTCCCAGGTAACTTGTTAAAGATGCTTTTGTACAGTAAAATGATCTTAACATGTAATTCTAATTCAAGATAATTCCAAGATTATTCTTTAAAATGATATTTTTAATACCAACAAGTGCTTTGGATTTTCTAGGTATTGAGAATCACTTGCACTAAAGTTCAGCTAAAGGTGCCATTCTGTACATATTGCTTTGTATCATTCTAAAAGTGAACTAAACAAACATGATTAATACTGTACTAAAGAGATACTGAAAATGGAAGTAAATACACCTAAAAATAGCAAATGCCATTCTTGCTACCAGTTTTCACTTTCTCTTAGATGGTCTTTACCTTCTGTTAACATGTTAATCCCATTTAAAGCAACGGGGAAACATAACTGTAGTGAAAGTGGCTGTACAAGAAAAGCGTGCTGGAAATAACTACCTTATAATCTTGTAAACCAGCTAGCTAAGTGCTGTTTGGAGCTATAAAAATACTGGGGCAGGAATACGGTGGGTTTTTTTTAACTTTGTTTAAGTTTAGTTTGGCATTTCCCTCAGTGACATAATGTACTTTTTAAAGAAATTGTATCTACAGATGTTTTCTCCAAGTAAACCTCCATTGAAATTGTATTACTTTTGTGTGTTTTAAAATCAAGCTTTAGTTACATATGCTTTAGAAGTATACAATACCTCTTCATGTCAGATAGTTTTCTGGTTGATGACCTGAGCAAACGCTGAACTCCTAAAAAGGATGAAAACATCATGAAAATATCCTCTTTATCTCTTTTATCAGATGTGTTCTTGCTTTGAGCTAGTTTGCTGTATGATTAACAGACAGCAGTATAACTGTGGTGACTTGGAATGTGATCTGATGTCCAGTGAAACTAATAGAAAGTTAATATTTTTGCTTAGAAATGGGAATAAGTACAATGGAAATGAACTACAGAAATCTTAGTTCTTTCGAACAAGTAGTACAACACACAGTAAATTATTTATGTGGTACTGAATTCATATGGTGCATGTTGTCTTCAGCAGTGCTTGTGGGACAAAACGTAGTACCAATGATTTGCAGAAAAAAAACTTTTAATGTAAGCCTTAGGTGAGCAATAAGGCTCACATAGGAAGAACGTTTTTAACTTTGTTTACCCCACTTCCTACCTTGGAAGATGAAGTACAAGCAGCTGAATCCAGTGGTATGACTTTGTTTCAAATGGAACATGGCAGTTCCTTCTCTCATCGTGCAACAAGGATGAAAGTTTAGTAAAGTGACCACAGGTATTTCCTGTTCAGAGGAATCTGGTTTTGGTGATCAGCCATTCACACTCATGTGAAAAATGTCCAACCCTACTTATTAAATATATTAAAAATACATATTTTGACTATTAAAAGATTATGCAGTTTTCCACTAGTTCACTTAGTTGTGCTAAGCAATTTCCTTCATACCCCTTCCAACTGCTAACAGATCACGTAGTTATATTTTCCTTCAGCATTAAAAGCCAGAGGAACATTTTTGGCTGCATCTGATTCTGCTGTCTGGATAACAGATGCTCGTTTTCCTTTGACCATTTTTTTTTTTTCCACTGAGCAAAAGTATCTAGAGTGGAAATGGAAGGCAAATTTTGGGAAGTAAAGGCCACATGGCTATAGCATACATTTGCTAACTTTCAGAATGTGCTTTTGAGGTTTAGCACTGGGAATGCTGGAGACCATCAAGCATTTCAAAATCGTGTGTTAGTAGCTTCCTGCAGCTTTGAATAAACAAAAGGGAAAAGTCTGAGAGCTTCAACCCGTTCCCTTCCTCATCTTGTCAAGGAATTAAATCCTTACAGAACTAAGGACTGGAAAAAAAACATAGTAATGACCTAAGAGAAAATCAAATACTTCTCTTTGATCTGTGGTCTGTTGTAAAACCTACAGTATTTAGGGAGAAGGAAGGGAAGCCAGAATGAGCATCTTGCTTGCAAGAAACAAAATGTTGCACCTCTACCCACTAAGTCTCTTGGGAAAAAACATAAAATCCAGAATGGCTCCTATGAAAAGGCTCTGCTCCTGCTGTCACTTGCCTCTTTGTTCTTTGCTGCCCTCTTAGCCTGTAACCACAAGTATTCTACATGGATGCTCCCAGAGCTGTTAGTCAGGAAACCTGCTATGCTCAGCACAGAGAACCTGCTTCAGCTCCTGCTGGCTTACTCTAACAGCAGAAAGACAACTTACTTGCTGACTGACAACATGGAATTCTTCACTGGATCATATACCCCCATTTCTTATATCTGAGATGGGCAACAGGAGTAACTAACCTTTACATATGCTTGTTTGACCATGTGTTTTCAGTTTTATATCGTGCTATGAAATCTTGTTCCTCAGCATGAAAACAAACTACATAAGCTACAAATAAACCCAGTTTATTTGCAAGCATTTCAGTATATTCAGTTGAGCATGTTATGTTATGATAATTCACGGCAGAGGCAGTTTTCCACCAACTTTTCCTTGCATGCTTGCAAAACAACAGTATTTAACTATGATGAAGAAAATCACATCAGGTTTTCTTGGCAAATACTGTTTAACACCATTCTTATAGTGAAAGGAGCATCTGAATAGTGCCACCAAAGCTTGATCTGCTTAAAAGTACCTTATCATACGCCTATTTCTTGCAGGACTGAATACTATGCAAGGGTCTGAACTCCACTTACGGCATTGCTTTTATCACTTGAACTCTTCCAAAGCTTTAAAAAGCAGAGGCAGTGATAACCAGAATACTGTGGAATGGGGAGCAGGGGGCATGTTTGGTTTTCCATATTCTGTTGTCAGACTAATGCAATCAGAGTTTCAGCACCTGCAAAGAAAACATAAACCAACCAGTTCATAACATCTGGTAATGCCTTCCAGTATCACAGCAATTAAAGAACCTGATCACAATGAAACAGGATAATTTCAAATTAACGTAATATTCTGCATGAAGTGAGATGGTGACCATTGTCCACATAGAAACACTATGACAACATCAACGAACAAGTGCACTGCAGCCATTATATTTGTCTTTCATTTAAACAGTCACACATTCCATTGGTATCAGGACTACCTTCTGATATAGCAGTAGTTTTTAGGTGCAGTTCCTCTGCATCCACATTAAAGCCATATGCAAAGAGTGCAGGAGGCCCAACTACTGTGAACTGCCTACAGCATTCTGAGACAAAAAAAAAAAACACATGTGTTTTACACACAATGAATAATCTCTACTTTTTCCTAGGGAAAGAACAAAGAAAGCTATTTCTTAAACTTATTTTTTATTTCATGATAAGATATCCTTCCCTGTTTCTTTATGCAAATATTTGAATATGGATCTTACCTGTCTTTTCACTGCTCATTGAGTCCTCATTTAATGGCTAGTGATATTTGCTGTTACATTTTTAATAGTATGCACTGGACGTTAGCTAAAAAAAAAGTTGTTACGTTTTCTGCTGTGTAAATCCACAAGGAATTTAAATAGACAAAAGAGAGTCAAGTCACCGTGTTCGGATCAGACCTAGATTTGTGTCTCAGTGACCACGAGGTGGGGCACTACGTTAACATACTGTGGGAGAAGCTGCTCTAGCTGTGTTTGTCAAGTTAGGAATGTTTTAAAGGAATGCGAGAAGAGATTGAAAACCAGATAGATAGATCTAGTATTTCATTTTACTTTCTGCCACGATTGCTAAGCACGACACTGAATAAGGCATCGGAGAAAAGGTTTCATAGCCAAACATTTCCAAACTGGATTTAAAACAAAAAGTTGTCACAGAGAGATGTAATAACTCTAGAGAAGGAGCAACAACAGCCTTAGAAAAATAACAGCTCAGTTTATCATGCTTCTCTTTCAGTTCACCCTCGATCGCATTCCCAGAAGCCGTGAGGTTAGGCAGTCTTGGACCTCCTCTGTGGTAACAACGCTATATTCCATGCTTTACTCCCTTCCTTTAACGTACAGACGGAAACCAGATTTGGTAGGTAAAGTAAATTTTAACTTAATGGGAACTTGGTATTCTGCATCATAGAAGCATTTGGAATATCAAGACTGTATCTCATATGTATACTTAGATTTACAGTTCACAGGAAAAGTATGTTTTGAATGTAAAATTAAAGCTGAGAGAGCTATAGCAGCAATATATCAAGAGAGAACACATTGCACTGCCAGTGAATTAGAGTAGCAAATACCAGTTTCCCCTCTCAAAGACTGCAGGCAACGTCAGAGACTGTCACTCCCTTGTTAATACTGGAAGAGCTAACACAAACCAGGTTGCAGGTTCTTGATAATATCTCTTCAGGATTGCAACAGCACAAACTGTGCCTGAAAGCCTGGTAATCCTGTTGGCTGTCTTGCTCCTGAAATGGTAATGAAATCCAGGCAGAAATCTATACAGATTCGGTTCTTGTGCTTACATGGACTTCTCAACCTGTATGCATAGTTACACCCACAGAGGATATTTGTAAGCAGACTTGTTTTAGCTTTCTGTGAACTGTATGGCTAATCCTAAAGAGGCTCTTTGTATTTGTGATACTTTGACTGTTGAGAGAAACTGCTGTGTATAATTTGATGTCACTGGCTTCAGTAGTACTGCTTCAGTTCCTATCAGATCAAAAGCTATTTGCTTGCTGGAGTCTTCAGAGCAGTTTAGCATGCAGAACAACAGAAGCAGCTTTCTGCAGTTCTTGTTTTTCAAGCCTATTCTGAAGACTGGAGATAAAGTTGGGAGGGAGGGAGGAGGTGGCATACCATGCATTTCACAGTGATTTTAACTGGGGGTAAGGGGAGGGAATAATAGAGGGGTGTTTACATGAAGCAGACATCATTAGAGCAAATGCAAGTATCATATTTAGAAATCACTTTTTCACATCACTGGGTTTCGGTTACTGTCAATATTTTTTAACTTAATATTGCAAAAAATCTGGCAAAATCTCAATCTCACTGTGTAGCTTAATCTATTACCAAAAGTGGCAACAGGACTCAGGGATTAAAATGACACATATCATCAGTGAAAAGATTCGGTGTGGTATCTGAAGCAACTGGTAATATTGAATTGGCTTTAGAAGAAAAGGTCTGTGGTGAATTGCAGCTCCCCCTACTCTTGGCAACATGCAATGCTTCATAGTTAAAAACACACAAACAGAAAGGGTGGGACAAATGCTGGTGTTTACAGGACTCATCTATGATTTCTGGCACAGAAGTCAACAGCCAAGTTTAGAATAAGCAGAGTATTACATCACGCTGAGAACTTCCTATTTTTAAACAGTAAAGCTTATGGGTACTGTACATTTACAGTCTTAGCAACTGTTGTTTAACTGGAGGAGGGACTTGTAAGTCATTTATATGTGTGAGTGATTCCCAAAGCTTTACACTTGCTTTTAGGCTTGTCAAAAATGTGTGCAGGTTTGAAGCCTTCTCCAGACACCCAAAAGCTAGAGAAAAAGCAAAAATGTTGCAGTTTTCAAGGAGTGCAGGACAAGAGAAGTACTGCAAAGAAAGCCCTAAACCATTACGTGCACAAAGGCAAGATGTGGAACAGATAGGCTTAGGCTGGCATAACTAGCATATCTGTGGAGCCAGAAGAGCTGTAAAGGGGAAACAGCAAACCTAGCTGCACAGGAGTTACTGTATATGTGCTTATTTACATGAGCACTGTGCCCCCTTTGTATCTCCCGCTGATCTTCTGGCAAAGTTTCTTAAGTTTAGTTTGCATGAGAAATCAGTTCCGTCTAAACCTTCTTCAAGATAGTGAGTTCAGAAAGAGCTGAGCAACTTCCAGGAGACCTCTGCTGTCTTGCAGGACTTGAACCATACTTGAAATGGGCCCACAGGGAGTTTAAAGAAATGTAAAAGCGTAGTTGTTCAGTTTGAGATCATTTTCAAGAGGCCCATTTCCGAGTTACAGACATCTGCTTTCTGCAAGTTAAGTCCCTTTAGAGATATTAAACCAAATAACAAGATGTCAGAAGTCATGATCAGCTTGTTTTCGTATAGCTAAGGACTATAGAAATATAGGCGTTTACAGTGGTTTGCAGGCATGTGTATGCTGGGCAGCCTTAGATAGGCTTCCTATGCAAAGGCCTAAAATTCCAGGAAAGAAAGACTTGTGCCAGCACACTTTGCCTACACCTTCCTTTCCCCAGAAAAGCTTTTAAACCCATCAATTGCAGACAGATTTAATAGGTAGTCATAGCCTCAAAGACTGCAAATTCCTACCATGAAAACAGTTGGTCAGAGAAGACTTTTACTGCTTTCACTGAAAGGCTGAGAAGAAACATAAAACCAGAATAAGATGTTAGAAGACCTACTTTCTAAGGAAAGACACAAATTACACCAATTTAGTTACAGAAAATAGGACGAGACACAGAGATTTCTCACAAAGACAGTTACTGAATGTTGCACAGACTGTTTGATGTCCAAGGAATAAACTAATGTTACAGCCTTCCTATAATATGGATTAAGTCAGTAAGTAGAGGAAACCAATCTCCAGTTCTTCTGCTGCTTACAGAACTGTTATCATTGTCTCTAGGCTGACTTGCAAACCCTGAAACCAGATCTTCAGGTGACTTAGTCCTTAGGTTGTATTTAACAAAACGTGATTATTCCAGTCATTCTTGCACACCTGAAATTCAAACTGAAAACAAAGAACATGTGGGTACCATGCAGCAGAAAGCCGTACAGAGATTGCATCCAGTCCTTGTTTTTAGCAGTAGATGGGCTACAGTGGGCTATAAATGGATAGCTACAATAGAATCATAGAATAGTTAGGGTTGGAAAGGACCTTAAGTTCATCAAGTTCCAACCCCCCTGCCACGGGCAGAGACACCTCACACTAAAATGCATCACCCAAGGCTCTGTCCGACCTGGCCTTGAACACCAGGGATGGAGCATTTACAACTTCCCTGGGCAACCCATTCCAGTGCCTCACCACCCTTATAGTAAAGAACTTCCTCCTTATATCCAATCTAAACTTCCCCTGTTTCAGTGTGAACCCATCAGCCCTTGTCCTGTCACTACAATCCCTGATGAAGAGTCCCTCCCCAGCATCCCTATAGGCCCCCTTCAGATACCGGAAGGCTGCTATGAGGTCTCCACACAGCCTTCTCTTCTCCAAGCTGAACAGCCCCAACTTCCTCAGCCTGTCTTCATACGGGAGGTGCTCCAGTTCCCTGATCATCCTCGTGTCCTCCTCTGGACTTGTTCCAACAGTTCCATGTCCTTTTTATGTTGAGGACACCAGAACTGCACACAATACTCCACGTGAGGTCTCACAAGAGCAGAGTAGAGGGGCAGGATCACCTCCTTTGACCTGCTGGTCATGCTCCTTCTGATGCAGCCCAGGATACGGTTGGCTTTCTGGGCTGTGAGCGCACACTGAAGCTGGCTCATGTTCATTTTCTCATCGACCAACACCCCCAAGTCCTTCTCCTTGGGCTGCTCTGGATCTCTTCTCTGCTCAACCTGCAGCTGTGCCTGGGATTGCTCCGACCCAGGTGTAGGACCTTGTACTTGTCATGGTTAAACTTCATAAGGTTGGCATCAGCCCACCTTACCAGCATGTCCATAATTTGATCCGTGATTTGCTCTCCTTTAATATAAGGAAATTTCACCTAGAACTGTGCCAAAATGCTGTAGAAGGCTCCCCTCATTAGTGGACTGCACATCCTGGACCCCTAGGACCAGACTTAGTTTGCTTTTTTGGGAAAAGTTCTCAGCAGTTCCTACTGCCTTAGTGCTCTGCAGAGCTTGAAATAAGCAGACCTTTTCAGATCACTGCTATTTGGGAAAACCTGGGTTAAATCAGGCAAAGAAGGCAGTCCTTCCAGAACAGGGCCTCCTTCCCGTGGGAAGGCCATAGTAAGTAGTTTACATTTGCACAGCAAGTACAACAAGCTCTGCTGTCTCCTTCCCCACCAGCTGTCAGCTGAGTGAGTCTCTCCTTAAACTTCTTTCTAGAAGCCTGAAACCTGCTCAGCTGATTATGCTTCCAGCAGCCTACCAGTTCTTCTATGCCTGCCCATCCCATCACACACACTTGGTCCCCTGACTGGTTAAATTCACTGCAACAAGCTTCTAGAGTTGGTGCAGAAGTGTTCACATAGTAAGCTATATGAAAGAGGATCATTATTTCCTTTAGCTAAGTTTTTCCATTCTTTATGCCCTGCCCACAGATGTCTTTATTTCATAGCACTTTAACAAATGACTAGGACAAATAGTAAGTTATTGTCCCTTATATCACAGTTCTTACTAGAACTTTGTGGAAAGCTACAAAAGCTGGGTGGTGGCATTTTTTCCTCTATTCACTCCATAACAAGTGAACCTTTTATAATGCAGTATTAAGACTATCTGGTGCATTCTTTTGTATGCTGAATCTTTCCCCACTATTTATAATTCTTTTGGACCAGATTGACAATATGTCTGATCTACTCTTGTTCTTCTAGGATCAAAACAGTCAAAAGAAGCAAGAGTAAGAACATTGGCTTAAAACCTTCAGTGATTCAAATCATGTAGTCTAAAAAGGAAACAAAAGTCATTGAAATTTAACTTCTCAGTGTTAATGAAAATATGAGGCTTACTCACCCCTCTCTACTACCTTGTATGCTGTGTACAGCTACCCTGCAGCCACAATGTGAAATTACCTTTTGCTGAACACATATGATAAACATCTAAAGCTATCCACATTGGTTAGTTTAAAGCTAGGTTACTGCTCTGCTCTTTCTGTGACTGCCAGTTAGACATGCCTGTAGACACTGCATTTCAGAGGGAGGACAGAAGTAGCAGTAAAGAAGAACTGAGAGCTTAGATTTAAGCAGAGGTTAAACTAAAGACTATTCAGACTTAATTCATCAGCTCTCAGATTCGTTGTGAACCTAATGAATACCTTGGTCACATTTCCATTTTTAAAGCATGGTTTGAAGTAAACAGTCTTGCTATATCTGACCACTGAACCAGGCCACTGCTGTCAGTCAGCTACAGATGGCTAATACCTCTAGATTTTGCATTGTGAAGACATTTCAGGTATTTGATGTGGATTCTCACTATATCAACTGCAGTGATTAAGCAGTAGACTCAAAGATGTTTACATACATATAAAATACCAATTTTAGCTAACCTAAAATACTGCAGTCAAGCTCTAGTTAAGTGAATGCTTAACTAATGAAAGACACATTGAGATTTGCAGTTAAAGGCTCATTTTAGGCCATGAGTAGTAATATGTATGATTATATTTAACAGTCTTTTGACTTGATTTTTCCTTTCAAATAGAGGCAGGCTACTATACTAAGCAGTACTTTTTAGTATCAGGAGATAAGCCATTACTTTTAAATAGGCTCTAAAAGTTTCTATGGCACTTCTCATGGTGCTCTGACCAAGACACTTTAGTCAGGTTCAGACTCAGCCAAGGTGACACTTAGAACAACTGCTTGCTGAAAGTACTATTTAGTACCTAGTGACTGTAGCTACAGATGTACTTGTATCTACAATTTCATTCAATAGCAAAAGCATTTCACTGAATTTGTTTATGACCACCCTTTTCATCCACACAAATTTCCTTTAATTCCTAATAATTTATCAGCAGCAATAAACCAGAAACCCACTCCATGGTAATGCAGGTAGGGAGTTAGTTTATTCTCTAGCCTGCATCTGCCTTGGTAATCTTGTCCTTTTTTAACCAAGCTTCTATCCACCACCCACAGTTAATCACAAGACTCACTGGTGCCACTATTTCTTGACACAAACTTCTGGCAGAGCTCATGATGTTTGCTTGGTCCCACTGACAGTGTGGGTGTTAATTTAATGTTTTAATAACCAACACTTAACATTCCTAAAGACTTGACCATTAGCATCACTTTCATACCTATCATTATTTTCAATACATTGGTTCTGTGTTTCTCAGTTTACATTTGGCAACTAGGGTGGGGAGTGTGCTGATGGAAACTACCACTCCAAAAACCTTTTAATCCCAATGACAGACCTGCCACCTTTCATCTGAGATGCAGGGCAGTTAAGTAGGGTGCCTAAGGTTAGCTTCATCAAAAACAAATATATAAATAAGTCAAGCCTACATGTTTATGTGTCCAAATCTAGATTCTCTCTCTTCACTAAATTGTTGCCTAACTTCTGAGGCTCTTAATGAACCCGGTTATCTTCCTTTTCATCAGTAAAGCCCCCAGGCATACTCAGAACCAGACCTGAGCTGTTTAAGTGTCAAACAGCCGGATGCACAGCCTGAGCAATGCTGAAGTACAGAAACTAGGAGTTTCCCCTCACTGCTTGGTATATGGATGCTGATCCAAATCGCATCAGCTGGGCCTCTTCTCTTGTCTCTTGCCCCTGAGGACATTTGGATGGTAAGACTGGGTCAGACCACTAAATACCTAGAAGGCAGATGAGACAATGCCTAGTGCTGTTGCAATTAAATCCTGTTGTTAAGTCTACTTCCGGGCAGCTTTGTGGAAGCTCTCCTTTCCTCCCATAGGAAGATCCATGAGGTAGGATTTTTGTCTTCCTCTCCTTCAGGAGAACGCTTATAAGAGTTGCAGGAACAAGAGAGTTGGTGATGCTTCCCAGCATATTTAATTCTATGATGAAAATAATACTCCAAAGTAAAGCAATGCACATTAGAAACCCAACCGCGCAGTGTGCTGATTTAAGTCCCTGCACTTCCACTTCTCTCTTTCCTGTTCTGGCATTCACTGATCTTATTTATCCTAGTTAAGAAATCTGCCTGTAGGACCACACATGTCTGTGCTTGTTTTGAAGAGCACCTTACTTGCTGTGTGTACTGTATGATGGCAACAACGGGAACTGTGCCAACAAGATACACAGAAGAGTACTAGAAAGGTTTTCATGGCAATGCTACAAGCTACAGATGATAGTTGCTGACCAGCCTGAACACAAACTGTTGCTATAGAACACTATCTTCTTGCATTCCTGATGAGTCAAGTAATTTAGACAGTAGAGGATAAAAGTGTGCCCAGATATAAAATCAATTCTACCTTAATTACCCATTTACATCAGACTACACATCTAGGTATTTTTTGTCCCAGCCTGTATTCTGCAGGGAAGTTCAAACAGCAAAGAGGGTGTGAAGTTCTACGTGGTTTTATATACAGCTTGTGGAGGGAAGTGAACTGGGTAAGATTTTCACTCTTCAAAAAGAAGAAGGTGCAGTAGGTAATTTAATGACCTTTATATTGTTCGAACAGAACCTGAAATTCTTCTTTCTCCTCACCAGTTGCAGTAATAAGGAACTGTTGGAAAAGGTTCCTGCCTTTTTTGGTTTTAAGCCTTGAAAAAAAAAAAAAAAATAAAAAAATCAAACCCATTAACAATTCTAAGCTAGCATTCCTTGAGGTTCAAAACTTGAATTCTCAGACATGCTAAAGAGCTAGACTAGCAAAAGCTTTAACAAGAACACTCCCTCCCACATGCTCAAGTATTGGAGCTAAGGAGAAATCCCTCTCCCAAATCCTCAGAATTCTCTTGTTTTTCTGAGTAGCAAATAAATTTATATTCCCTGGAAGAGACCTTACTTCTGTCCTAACTGCAGTACCTCCCTGGGGGATGAAAAATGTATCTCTTGAAACCTTTTAGAATTACTCATTTATGGCAAAAATAACCATTTCTCTCTATTTGCCATGCAGGCTTTAGCTGTCATCGAAGTTAGCAGCAGAAATTGTTCCTTCATGGATACGCCCTGCTATGTCTGAGCATATTTAAAACCCCAAATCTATTCAAAAGAAAAGAACATGCACATTTTCTCTTACTCACAGAACATGATACTGAAACAAACAGCATGCAAATATAAAAGCAGTACTCTCCATACCTGGAGATCTTCACTGAGAAGGAGATGCAGGAATTTTGATGCACACTCTGTGATAAGTAAATTGTTTTCCCAGTGCTAAAGTAGAAAACATTGATGTTAGAGAAAGTTAAGTGCTATGCCCCAAATCCCATGGTGAGTCCACAGCAGAAATGGGAGTACAACCCCAGTTTCTTACCTCTCCAGACTTGCATCTTGGTCATGAGCTCATGAGGTAAATCTACTTACAACTAAAATTGGTATTTGTTCACTGGTGCTTTTGTTAGTTTGATTTCACAGTTACAGCATCTCCAGTATTAAGAAAGCGGGTCCCACAGCTGCAGGGCTGCAATGCCTGGGAGCTGTTCAGGCTACATTGAGCACTCAGTGGAACCAGGTCCTTGGGAATCACAGGTAGGAAATGGGAACAGCTGAGTCCAAGAAGCCAGATTACAGCTGCCTTTGTAGGTAGCATTCAGTGCTTCTGTAGGGGAAGGGAATGTATGTTCAGCTGGATACTTCACCTCGGTGTGTTGTAAGATAATACTGAAATCCAAGCAAAGCGTGATGAGCTCATGACATGCTGTGATTTACATAGCAGAATACAAATTAATTCCTTGCAGATTCTCTCTTTTCATGCCACAGAAACAGTCAAGATCCCCCCAGCAAAACAAGAAACACATCAACAAACCCATTTGGTATTGCACTCTGAAATCATCAAAGACAAGAAACTCCTGCAATGTCAAAACCCCCAGCTCCTACCTGATGAATACAGGAGTCCAGGTTTTTGTTTCTAAATGAGGCCTTTCAATTGGAGTTCAGATTGGTTTCCCATTTCCTCTCTTCCATACAGCCTTCTTTTTTTATCCCTTTGCCTTCCTTAAAATATCAGGAAGAGCTATTCAAATCTCTTTGACTTTTCTGACAAATCTCAGAGGTGTCTTCTTGGCTTTTGTATCTCTACAGGCTGAACAGTTCCTTTTTGTTCCCAAATATTAAATAGCCATTGAAATGAAGTATTTATCATCAACAAAAGCCAAGTTTGAGCAGGCCATCAAAAATACAAAATTATTAATAAATTACAGGCACACTTTTGTTCCTGAGAAGCAGAAAATACCTAATTGGGCTTTTTCGCAACACTGGTCAAAAGTAGCTCTGTTTTCTTGCCTAGATATACAAAGATGATGCAGTTAACCCAGCTTGTTGGTACCATTCTGCTTGCCTTTGCCTCTTTTAGTGGTTCTCCATCACTACCATCTAGTCCCTTATTCTTACCTCCACTTATTTAGCATTGTGAGGAAGGAAGCATTACCAGCACTAAGGAAGCTTGAGGAGTGTCCTCTGAACATACTCCAAGAGACAGCTCCATAGGCAGCAAGCAATGCAGTCTTCAGTTCTCAAGCATGCATCACCCTACAGCAACACTAATCAACATCCCCAGCCCTAGAAAGCTGAGTAGCTTTTCTCCAGGTGGCAAAGGCCAATCCCTGTGGAATTTATTAAGGAGAAGAGCAGGTGCCGACAGTTTATTATGCAAAACAAATCTCCCATGAGTTTTCCACTTTCTCCTAAGTTTTGAGGAACTGATGCTGTCCTCCAGTTGTTGTAATCTGGGAACATAAGCAGGACTCAAGTATCTGTTCATTAAAGATACACAGCAAATGTATGTTTACATATTGCTGAGGAAAACTGCATGTTTTCTGCTTTACTCATTTTTGTTTCAACTGGTGGCCTGGCATTTAATCCCAGTGAAGCTGTGAGCTATGCTTTCAGTGTTTGAGCTGGTAAATGTCATTCTACTACAGAGCTGCATTCACCAACTCTAAAGCAGCTTTTATCAGCAGCTGTGCCATGTGCCAGTGTTCCCAGTACGCCAGACTGCTGGCTTAGCTTGTTTTCTTTCAACAGTGGTAGAAAATATCTGAAACAGAAAAGCAACAATTACTCCATTTTAATAGGAAAGTGATTAATATGTAATTAGAGAGTCACCGAGTATAAATGTTGTATTCTGATCCTTTACTTTTAAGCCTCCATTAATATACAGATTGTTTCATTTTATTGTACTGTTCAAAAGCGGTTACACTGACTTGGTAGAGGATTTTAATATGCAGGATTTAGTTCCTAGACCTAGCAGTGGAGGCGAATGCAAATGGTGCAGAGATCTGCAACACTACCTTCTGGAATGATTCCTTACAGCTTGCTGGCAACAAAGTCAGGTTGCCCGTTGACCAAGAAAATCCTTGGGCAGCTCAGAAGGTCACAGAGGCTCCTTCTTTCCCTTTCTGCTGCCTCACTGCAGAAGTCTGAACCAAATAAACTAGAGATCTGTGGAGACATATCTCATGCAACGCAAATATTCTACAGGCAGCCTTGTAGCTAAAGTAAATAGATACTGGGAAACGCTTACCCTCAATAGCTGGTTGACCTTGTAGAGGCCCTGGTCCTTTCTTGCCCAATAGGTGCTTGCTTTTTCTGCACAGTATACTGATGATTCCCTAGAGATACTTGTGTTCTGCTGCAGGGGAAGAAACAAAAGCTTTGGTCTTTTCAAGGCGGAAAACACCAGTCCTCCAAAAGGTACTTTTGAGCAGTGTTTTGAGATTCACTAGTAGGACAGCTCATCTCCTTTTATGTGTTTAAGGGTGAATGTAGATGATTCAGTTCCTTTCCATCATTGACAAGTTTGTATACTGGAAGGAACTGAACAGCAGCATTTCTAGCTTATAGATTCCACAAAGGTTCCTCATCTTACGTTGTACACACTTCTTGTCTCAGGATTTTCCCCTGTATCCCTTGATGACTGTATGATACTGTATTCCAAGCAGCAGGAATGCTGGTCTCCCTTCCTGCTGACAATGTGAGAGGGAGTAAGTAGGACTGGTCGGACCAGATTTTTGGAGGGGAATTGCCACTCCAGCACGTGAGCAAACTGCACCATTTTCTAGGTACGACATGTCTCTGGACACACACAGAAGGTTAACTGAAGGTTAATTTTTAATGATCACAACCCCAAATTCAGATAGGGTTCTATTTGTCTGGTGGCTTCAGCAAGTTTGTACCAGTCTTTTTCAGGGGACAGTTCCTAAACCCAAACTTTTTAAAATAGGAACACCTATAGTCAGAGTATTTAATGGGCATTTTGGATATAGAGGTCCTATAGAGTCCCGTGCAGTTTGTCTTGTTTCAACTGGTATGTGTGGAAGGGGAAAGAGCAGAGGATGTGAGTTACGATCAGATCATGTTTTTTTAGAGTGCCTAGTCCATAATTTTCCTGGTTCTTTTTCTTGCGTACAGTTACTTTTCCATGAATCCAAGGGATCTGAGAAACAACTTACAAGTTATAAACAGTCAGTAGAAGGTATAAATTGAGTGCATCATATCAGAACCTTGATTTAGTAAAGGTGTTTTATTATAATTTCAATTTTGATTATTGCTTTTCTGTTCTGCACGTCAGCAAAGTAGTAACAGCAACTCCGTGTGGCCTTTAGAGCTACATAGAGTCACAACTAGACCCAATTACTATTCTTTATTTACATAAACTTTACTTAGTTTGGAATTCCTGCTAGCATTTACCTCTGTGTGTGCATTTAGACACAGGAATACCAAATACCAGACAGGCTGGAGCCCCTAGCCAAGCTTAATAAAGAGAGGGGGAAGTAGGATGAAGTGTACGGCACAGTGGCTTGATAAAGACCATGAATGTAATACTTCAGCTTCTGGGCTCAGGAGGATGTAGGATGTCTGCCTGACCTAATTCATATCTGTGACTGGTATGTTTTTGTGTCAGACTATGGAGAGTAAGGGACTGATGTCAAACTCTCTCCTTGCTTTAAACCAGTGGGTTGAGCTTTCAGACTAGATGGAAGCTGAAAGAGTGCAGAGCTGTCTGAGTCCAGACAGTGGAAGAGTGGCTGGGAACAGGGATGGAGAGGAAAACAAATACCAGAGATCACAAAGAAAACCAGGGGAGAGAGGATGGGTGGGATACATCTCAGACTACAGAGGAACACTGAAATTAAAGATACTTAGGAAAGGACAGGGGAGAGGACTAATGCAACAGAAAAAGGGCTTGGGGAGCAATGAAGATGAAACAGTATTTGTACTCCAGGTAGCTCCAGGAAAGGGAAAGAAGAGTTTCTGTTTAGCAGCAATGCACATTTCTGTCTGTTCACTTCAAGCTGAATATTTAATCTGAAATCAGGAGTCAGATTGAATATTTAACTCACCAATAAAAAACAGTAGTAAATCACTTTTTTGGACTGTTTTGGTGCTTCTTATGCACTTGCCTAAAGAGATGCTGCAGCAGGGACCCTGATGGGGTTTGCCTGCAAACACAGAACATTCCAACTTGATTCCTATGCCTATGTTTACACTAGAGTAACAAATGCAATTACAGAGATACCTAAACGTGCCTTCATTTTGGTATCAGTAGTCAAGTACCAGTAGCACAATCAACATCAGTGCACATTAATCAAATTTGGCAAGCAATAGGGTCATGATTTTCTAAAAGAAGGCTTTCTTTCTACATAACCCCCAGCTGTGCAGCAAAGCACTGATTACATGGTAGCAGTTAAATTTAGTACGAAATTCCTTGCCTGAAAACAGTTTGGATACCCAAGAAGAGTGCCTTAACATACCCTGCTTCAAACCTTCTGCTTTTAAGCAATCTGCGTGTCCGTTTCCCAGTGTCTAGAACTGGAAGACCACTTTCTGTTACTGTTAACATTTTTAAGTGAATTTGAGCTCATCTGCTACAAGGATGTGACATGTATTTGCCGAAACACCTTCCCTCTGTATGCTTGTTCCTATGTTGTCGTGGTTTAAACCCAGCGTTTATTAAAAGCAAAACAAATGCAGTCATGCACATCAGTAGATTCTGATGAAGGTCCTAAGTCATCAGCACATTTTTGCTGAACTCCTGTGTGTTTTACTGACTTAAGCCAAAGTTCAAGAGGTTTATAACCAGATCCCAGCTTTAGTAATACTAATTAAACTTCTTTGGCCCTAAGCGGTGCACAAATCTCATTAGTGATACAACACAAAGCTCTGAGTGAGATTAGAAGCTGTTTAAACTGTATACGCCTGAGTCTTCTGCTTCTTTCATAGACATGAACTGATTAACTGCGTCCTCTCAGAGCTCTTCTCCTCCTCAACGTGTAAAGAAAGATGATCTTTTTCAGCAGCTACTTTGAAATAATGTCTTTTGTTTGCCCCATTCCCCCCATTTTTCTTCATATTCACATGCCCCTTTTGTGCTTTCAGATATCCTTGGAAATATTTTGATTTGTAAGTGGAATGTGACATGAAAGCACACACTTCATTCTTCACCCTATGAAAAAACTCACGTTTTACTTGTGTAACATGTTTCATCTCTTTTAGGTATTGTGCAATGGACCAGGAACATGTGTTCCTGTCTGTATATCTGCTCTTCTCCTTGGGCTTCTAGGAATAAAGAGAGCAATCATTGTGTATGTGGAGAGCATCTGCCGCGTGGAAACTTTATCCCTCTCTGGGAAGATTCTGTACTACTTTTCAGATTATTTCATTGTTCAGTGGCCTGATCTAAAGGAAAAGTATCCCAAGTCAATATATCTTGGTCGAATAGTGTAACCATGGAAGACAAGCTTTCCCTAACACAAACTCTGCAAGCTCCTCACTGAAGTAATGAATTCCTGTAGTAATTTATTCTCAAGGATTCCTGTTAAGAAATGAGTCTGGTGCTGGAGAAGGAGACAACAATAAAGATTTAAGTACATTTAAGTACGTTTTTGTGTAGTTGTTTTCCTTGCCATCGTGTAGGTCTGTTCACCAATACCCCATAATGCCCTTAAGTCTGTGCCATGTCTGTTTTCATCTAGTTTTCCTGCTATGTGAATGGCAATTTTTGTCTACAAATAAATATGGGAATTCGCATGAATGTAACATTT